GTCCATCATTAGGATACTGGTAAAATAAATGCCCAAAATGTCCATACAATAGGAGACTGAAAATAATTTAAAAATATAAACATAAACAATACATGTCACCCCAGAAAGCTGTCCTATAACCTTATATGTAAAAATGCAGGCCACTCGACCATGTGAAAGCATGATCCCAGTTGTATTAAAACATACAGGATATGCATATGTATGTTTATTTATGTACAGGAAATTACATAAGGACACGCAAGGGTTTCCTTCTGGAAAGAGGGGATGGTGGAGTGGGTTGAGGAAACATTTTCTTTTCATTGTACATCCTTCTGGTACTGTTTGGACTTTTCACAGTGATGATGAACTATCACACTTAATCAGTCATATATTAAGGAAATGAACTGCTCAAAGCTATGTGATAACAAATGAATGAAGGAATACATACATCCCTAGAAGAGTTAGATCTGTGCGTCAAAAACCTGTTTGCTCAGTCCTGTGCTAGTTGGATGGGGTCAAGGTACTGGCTTGTGCTCCTGTTCAAGAGGTCTTTGCATATCCAAACGAACCCTAAGTCATGACTCAAGGATAATAGGTACAATGTGAAATCATACCCTCGTGCATTATTTCTGCTGCTGTAACAAACCTCATGGACCCCCAAGGAGGGCCCTGAAATGAAAAGATTTTTTTTAGAGCTGGTGGCTACTTGGAGTTCCTAGAGGGATATCTTCCTTCTGCTCATTGCTCTCCCATCACCGCACCCTCCTCTGCCCCTCATAACCACACTTTTCCCTCCCCTCCACCGCCTTCTTCTGTGGCCTGCTCCAAGCAGGAGAAATGCAGATCCAAAATCTTTATCCTGCCTCAGAACTCACCTGTATTGAGCATGACCCAGTTGGCAATGATTCAAGCTGCTCTGTATGCGTCCTTGTAAGCTCACGGGGGAAACCAGGCCGCAGACCTCATGAAGTCCTAGCTATCATCTATCCATCCATCCGTCTATCTACCTATGTATCATCTGTCATATCTACACGTACACATACATATGCGTGTAGGCCTATGTGTTTGCATGTGCCCACACTTGCACACAAGCATGCATTAGGTTTCCACGGGCATCTGTGAAGCAATTCTAACTGTTGTCCAGGCAGATGCTGTGCTTACTGCTAACATGGGAGGAAGCACAGAGAGGAGGGAAAGGGAGGTGTCTGTGGGTGGGCCTGATCCCCAGGCAGGGAAAGAATTTGGCCCATTTGATATATTTTTGTTGGACCAGCTCATTAGATAGTAAATATGACATAAGTCTTTGAGCCAGGTCAGTGATAAAGAGCGAAATGTTTTTATTTCTTAGTATGCTCAGAATCATGCATTTTCTAACAGACAAAGGGCATCTACCCTCAAAATAAGATCTTCACAGATGTGAGAATGCAGATGTGTCTTCTTTCCTCAGCTGCACTCCCAAGCTAAGTTTCCTCTTACAGCAGGCTTTCCCAGAACAAAACACCTCTGGTTGATTGGCCTGGACTTCCCCCCGCCCCAGCCCTGGCAGGCCCCAGGGCCTGGCCCGAATAGGTCCAGGAGACACATGCAGGCCTCACCTGGCAACAGTTTTACTCCATTTTAATGAGTCTCGTTTGCCCATAAGACCTGTTTTTAAGTTTCTGGCTCATGCCAGGCTCATTTATTTGGTATTTAGGCTTGATGAGTACCCAGGTTTTAACCCACTTAGGACTATTTTTCTGCCTCACTCTGGAAGCTCCGGTTTTTGTCTGATTATTCCCCAACGCTGACCAGCTGATGGTTCCCATTTTCTCTTGTATCCTTTATCATCCCAATACCTACCACCCTTGTCAGTGTGTCTCCCCAGCACACGCACACACATGTGCATGTGCATGCACACACATTGGTTAGATACTGGACGAGTAGCCTTTACAATGATGGAAGGTTAGAGGTTTGTTTGTTATGTCAATTACTTCAAGTAAGGTGAGGAAGGAAAGTCTTTCTGGAATGTTCCATGAAGAGTTGCACTTCCTTCTAAATGCAGTTTTTTCTTCTTCCCTCAAAGACTCATCTTTTGAATAAAGGCCCTCTAAGGAATTGTTTTTCATCTGAGACCAAACCACTGACTCCTGATAGGGTATAATTGTGAATCATGGAGTGTGAGAAGAAAGACTTTTCAGCAGAAATGAATTTGTAAATAACTTTCTTTCTCTGCCTCTCCTGGGGGTGACCCACAAACCATAAAAATTTTCAGTCTCAGATTCTGAGTTCAGTAGAGACTTTCATTTTCATGAATTATCCCAAGGATTGGGGCACCTGGGTGGCTCAGTCGGTTAAGCATCTGCCTTCCGTTTAGGTTGTGACCCCAGGGTCCTGGGATCAAGCCCCACATCGGGCTCCCTGCTCTGCAGGAAGCCTGCTTCTCCCTCTCCCACTCCCCCTGCTTGTGTTCCCTCTCTCACTGTGTCTCTCTCTGTCAAATAAATAAATAAAATCTTTAAAAAAAAAAAATTGTCCCGAGGATTCACACCGTCATTCCCTTTGGGGGAAGCACACAGGGAAAATGGCACGTGCGGGAGTCAAGTATCCTCTGAGCAGCCCTGGAGAAGGACAGACGTGCCTGGTTTCTGCCCCTGCTCACAGTGCCATGTGCACTGCTGTGCGTTATTGGCATGGAGCCTGCCTCTGCATGGGCTGCCCGGGGGCTGTTCAGGGAGGAGGGAGCGTCCATCAGGCCCTCCTCAATGCTGCCTTGCCCTGCCACTTCTCTGACTCACTGTGTGTCCATGCATCAGAAGAACACAGGTACCAGCGATTCCAGTGACACTTCCCATCACTAATCTCCCCATTTCCCAGTAGGATATCACTATTACTTTGATGCCATGCCAGATTTTTGTTTTAAACAAGCTCTGTACAGACAGTTTCAGATGGACCAGAAATAACTTTTATGGCCTGCAAAATACCTTTCTCTCGGGACATTTTGTTGTGCTTTGAATACATTTTAACACAGTGAGGTAACATTCATAGACTCACAGAGACACGGGATTAGAAAGCAATTCCAGAGACATCCCATCCATCACCATGACGCCAGGCAGGCTTCACCCAAACCATCCCAGACAAAGGTAAATATCCTGTGTTCACAGGTCATCAGGAAAAGAGACTCCACACCACTCTTGGGTAACCCATTCCAGTGTTGACTTCCCTTCAACGATGTCATTATATTTGTATTACCGGGAAACGCCCCGTACTAGACTGCTGTGAGTTTCTTAAAACCCAAATTTGTGTATTTTGAACCAGATGTCACAAAACAGCCTGACTGTCAGCACACTGTTGAACTGGTACTGAAAAATGTCATTTCAAACCAAATACATCTACCCTTGGGGCTGGACCCAATTGGACAGCTTTCATTTAAAGTGTGACCATCTGTTCCTTTAGGACTCCCCTCTTGAATCTGGTCATCATTAAATGGTGAGGCCCTGCAGGTGTACCCTCATGCTTTCCTGCTCCCAGAAATCACAGCCGTCAGGTCCCTTTCCCTAAATCGTGGAAGCAGGAGCAGAACTGCTATAAAAAGCCAAGCGCTCTGCTCCGGGGAGGGTGTTTGCTTAGACACACGCAAAGATTTCTGACACTCAGTTTGTTCCTTTGGTTTTCAGAAATAGCAGCTTTAGAGGAGTCCTTTTCCCTGTCCCTTCCCCTTCTGCGATGCAACACGGTCTCTAAGAGGTCCAGTTACATTTTGGCTTGGAATAATCCACAGGGCCTTCCGCAGTTAGAAGCAAAATAGCCATCTCCCCTTCTTTCCACTATTTCCTTTGGCAAAGTGGAAAGTCATCAGGAACCGGATCGGTCAGGAAAGCCCTGACCAAGAGCTGGTATAAACCTCAGACAAGACGCAGCCTGATGAGATGAGTGTGCACAGTCATTGTCTGAGACAGAGGGTCTGAAATTGACACCATATGCGCCCGAGGAGTAATTGCTGGAAGGGGCGGGAGGGGGGGAGGTTGGGGGGGCATGAGGGGGGAGAAAAGCAACATGTCAGAACATTTTAGTAACACCTAATTCATCTCAAGGTTATAAATAAAGTGTAATGCTTGCTTAAAAACAAAAGTCGAAAAATACTTTGACCAGATTACTTTTGTGACAGTGCTTCCGGCAGAGGTGAACTTTATTAGGGAGAGGACGTGAATACAGAGAAACGCATAACAACGTTTTATGGTATATTTTACATGATTTTATTTTTTTGCAGTAAATAAAGTGGTTATAGGGCTCCAAGGAAAAGGGCCCAGATGTTAGAGAGTTGTGTGAAATTTAGGGGAAACAAGCTGTAAAAAGCACGGTCATAAAACAGGCTGTCAGTGCCACACATCTGGACAATACAGCTGTATGTTCCTAGTGGCTGTCGTCACCCAAAGAAAACTCAATAACCTCATTTCACCCCAATTAGGCTGCATACCAACAGGATCAACATTAAATTGCAAGGGGGCGGGCAAGGAACTTTTCCTATGGCACCTCTGTGTCAAGCAGTTTTTATCTTTCATTTGAATTTGGTCACCAAGAAGTAAAAGATTGCTAACATGGCTATTTCCATTATTATAAAACCCTATTTAATTTATGCTGTCGTAATAAGTCAAAGTTTGACAGCTTAGAAGATTGGCTATGCCAAACAATAGACTTTCTGTAGCACGAAACTGACCTATCAGTCATCCTATAGGGAGCCCCGGCATATCTTTCCTCTACCCCTTTTTTGGAGTCTGAGTCTAGCACCATCGTGGGAAGCACTCTCTGCCTCATTGGAAAAATAAGTTCATTTTCAGACAACCCAATTTCTGTAAAGTAGAAGGTAAATACCCTCCTCTATGGCAATGGGACATTTTTCTCTAATTCTTTTGGCCAGCAGTGAGGCACCTTTGCAGTAAGACAAATATTACAAAACTGAAATACCATTTCATCTTTTCATCACCAACAGACTGAGCCAAAGGTTACAAAATGCCACTTTTCCTATTAATTGTGTTTCTTCATAGGTGTTAATAGCAGCAAAGGCAATTATGGACAGCGGAGAGAAATTAACTCTACCACTGATAGGGAAACTCTTGAAATTTCAGCTTCTCCAGATTAAAATGAAGGACCAGCAGCGACGGGAAAATGAAAAGAAGGTACTGTATGATGGTGGGTCTTCTAAAGAGTGAAAACGGAGCCAGGTTTCTCCAGGTCACTTCCTCTCTTCATAAGCCTTCCATTAAGTGTTACCTGACACAGTCAGCTGTCACCTCGATAACAGGGAAAAGCCATGCAAAGATCCATTGGAGGAATTCTGTTTTCTCAAAGGCAGACGTATTAAAAATAAATTCCCTCGTGTAGAAATAGGACAACAGTCAGAGCATATGCCTGAGGTGGTTTTCCTAGTAGTCTATTTCCATGCTAGTGTCAAAGAAGGGACTCAAGGAGAGACGGAATCAGGAGAAGTAAATGTCATGTGAAAAAACCTGCAAAGTCAGGCTCTATTTAAAATATTTTATCTGATATTCAGTAGGACTTCCATTAAACTAGCAGGCTGTATCTGTCCCTTCATCATAATCTGAATATTTCAGCAGCAATCCATCACTTCTACTCCCATATCGTACACCTGATTATTTCTTCACATGTAGGTTTTTCATTTGCCGATGGAAATCAATCTGTGTGTTTTCCAAAGATTCATATTTTCATCTGAAAAAAAAAATAGCCTAAAATACCTTTAGCAAAATGATGCCAGGTTCAAACCCATTTGTTATTATCATTACTCAAAATAAGAGAGGTTTTTCTTATTTTCCCAGTCATGCTGAAATGTTTTTGGAAAGCCAAATGCTTTTGTACGTACATGTGTAATGTGTGTGTGGGCACATGTGTATATGAGATGGATTTCCACATAAGCTGTTTCTTTATGCCTCTTGGTGGAAGAGGTAAAATCAGTTCTTGGAAGAAGAAAGAGAAAAGGGAACATGTTTCAGTAATACCTTTTCGAGACCCCCAAATTGAGGTTTCCTATTTGAATTGGACTCTTGACAGGATAATTGTATGACAAAATAATAATGCCACCTTAGATTTGCAGTAGAGAGCTTTATGTTTTTCAAAAAGATTCCCCATATAGCATCTTACTAGGGAGGCACGTATTGTTCCTGGGGAAAATTCTACTCATACGAACACAAATGATGGTCTAGTTTTCCATCTATCGAAGCTCTCTTCATCATGTTCGGGAGATTTGTACCTTAAGAAATACTTGGGGACATTAAGACTCGGCAGAAGAAAAATCGGAAAAATTGAAACTAGTATAGAAACATCTTTTCTTGCGTTTTTAAATTCCCATGTCACGTGGGAATCTGAATTATAAGAAGTAGACTGTGAGTCCTGTGAAAATCTCTGCACCTTCTGTTTGCTCTGTGCTTTCCCACAGCAGGGGGAAACATACCTAACATGCTACAGAGTATCAGTTTACTTGTTTGCCAACTATTTTAAGTCAGCAATTGTTTGTAATAGGAATAAGTTTTAGAAATCAATTCTCGAATTTTAAGTAACAGTACATGGAATATCCTGGCAGCTCAGGAAAAGTCTTTAAAGCTAGCAACAATATAAAAATATTTCTGCAGTGATTTTGCTCAGCATTTCTTTGAAATGTGAACTATAGTAATACAGTTCTGAGATTCTGAAGATATGGAAATAATCTTAGTTTATTTTTTGAAAATTCAAAAATCTAAAGGAATTGGGGCTTGAATTTTAGATTTATATTTATGCATATATATGTGTGTGTGTGTGTGTGTGTGTGTGTGTGTGTATATATATATATATATATATATACACATATATATATATGTAATAGATGCCTAAGAGAACTCTGAGCAATCAAGAGCCAACAATTACATAGTCTAATTTGATGTCTTCCTTAGATTGGGCTCCCAAAAACACTAGCCCCAAATCTCTCAGTTGCAACCATATGAGTAAGTGCTAAGTAAATTGATGAAAACTGATTGGAACGGAGTACTCTCCAGAAAATACTCATGGTAAAGGCAAGATGAAGAGAGTTGTTGGGAGGGATGATATAATCTCTGTTCATTTCAACACCACCACCCAACCAGTCAGTTAGAACAATTGAGGTTAATGCTTGTCAGCCAGTGAGCTTGGCATAAAATAAAATAAGTATAAAGTATGGGAAATTGACCCATGCTGTGGATTAGAAAATGTGAAAAAGAAAAGAGGACTTGACCCAGTTTCTTCCTTTTCCTGAACCCAGGATGGGATTCTGAGATTCCTACAAGGGCACTGACTCTCTCTTCAGCTTTTAACAGCAACCTGAAATGTATGTAGATGTTTTCTTTCAAATGCTAATTATGTTGTTGACAACTGTGCAACCCAAATCGTGTTTTGTATCTCCTTTGCTGATTTTCAGAATTATATTTTTAAAAATGAATGCTTAAAAAATATCCATAGCAGGTAATTACCGAAAAGACTAGGGAGAAGATGTGGACAAAAATAGCTAATATAATTAGGTCCCTTTCCTTTACCCCCAGTGAAATAAATAGATCATTATATGTTTGATCCTGTTTTAATCAACCAAAATTTTTCTTAAAAATAGGGGCGAAGGGGCGCCTGGGTGGCTCAGTCGTTAAGCGTCTGCCTTCGGCTCAGGTCATGATCTCAGGGTCCTGGGATCGAGCCCCGCCTCGGGCTCCCTGTTCCGCGGGAAGCCTGCTTCTCCCTCTCCCACTCCCCCTGCTTGTGTTCACTCTCTTGCTGTGTCTCTCTCTGTCAAATAAATAAATAACATCTTTAAAAAAAAAAAAATAGGTGGCGAAAAAGAAAAATAAGTGGTGAATAATATAGCTCCAATTGCCAAATACAGTAAAAATACCATTTTTTTAGATTCCACTGATTTTAATAATTTGTAGCACTTTAGTGTGGGCTCTGCTTACCATTACATTTGCTTTGTCCATGAGGAAAGTTTGCTGGCTAATTCATATTATAAAAAATAATACAAGCAAAGATATTTTTTAGAGGAAGAGTTTTGAAGCCTTTAGCACATGAATTTCTGAAAGGCAAATGCCTGCCTCTAATTGCAATTAAGTTGAAAATATTTGAAAACTCTGATCTATTTGGAAACACCTTATTGGTTCCTCCCAAATATACATGAAGAAAACATATTCTATTGCTATAAATATATTTTAGAATTTCAGAATTTCTGAATGACTCTTTCATTCCGTTAATCCCAAATTAGATTTTGTTATATCTTAAAATCTGAACGAGAGTGTTTTGTTTAGAAATGACTTTTCCTTCCTTGCGCATATCATTATCGCAACAATTTATTGTGCATTTTTAGTTCTATCATTGTCAATCTGTCGTTAATTATTAACTTAACAAACATTTATTGAAACAAGTATTTAAAGAAACGACATACTAGGCACATACATTTTCATAACATTCATTATAATTTTTAAATTATTTGGTTTCTATTCTGAGTGTTTTAATGTAGTCATTATCTAAATATTATAGCATAGTTCACATTTTCACTTCTGTTTCACCCCAACTTCCACAATATATATTAACTTAAACATTTATTTAAAGCCAAAGCACTTTATTGTGAATATATTTAAAATATATTGAGAATTAGGGGCGCCTGGGTGGCTCAGATGGTTAAGTGTCTGCCTTCAGCTCAGGTCATGATCCCAGGGTCCTGGGATCGAGCCCCACATAGGGCTCTTGGCTCAGCGAGGAGCCTGCTTCTCCCTCTGCCTCTGCCTCTCTCCCTGCTCATGCTTTCTCTCTCTCTCTCTGTATCTCTGTGTCTCAAATGAATAAATAAAATCTTTAAAAAAAAATAAAATAAAATATATTGAGAATTCAACTAAAAGGAAACACTCATAAAAAAAGAGATGCAAAATGGCTATAATACAAAAATTAATCATTTAAATAATGAGCTAAACTAAATCTAGTCTTCCTATGCCTCTGCGTCCAGTTCAGAAAATTTGCATAGGTTTTAGGAAAAGATCCAAATATATTCTAACTGTGCTTTTAATTTGTGAATTCAAATAACCAGTCCATAGTTTCTTGAATATTTTTAGCATATCCTTCTTGTAAAAGCAGAACAGTGCTGTCTCTTTCGGGCTCATATACTTAGTACCTGTTGCTTTATTTTCCAAAGTACTAGAATTGGAGAGAAGGAAGGTCGGCAGTCAAGAACTATGCCGAGATGGTATTGGTAAACTTTTCTTAAAGCAACCCCAAATTAAAAGTACGTAAATGTGGCAAGACATCATGCTGAAGCCACAAACAACCCAAAGCCTGCTGCTCCGAAGGAGAGACAAAGAGAAATGAGGGTAACTTTCACAGACGTTTTAGAGCTCACTCCAGTTGAAACCCCAAAGTACTGGAAACCAGCCAATGTAATGCCATTTTGTGTGTGTGTTTTGTTTTAAAAGAAAGGCCATAGGGACATACCAGGAAATTACAGGCTGGTTAGTTTTGAGTCAGTTGTGGTTAAAATCTTCAAAAACTATTTTAAGAAATCAAACAGAGGAAGAGCAGAAACTCAGTTTAGAGGGACCCGTGTGGCTCCAGGAAAGGAATAACTTGCCTCACTAACTAGATGGAATTCTTTGAAGCTGAATTATCAAAATGAGGATACTACCAACAAACCGTTGGATCTAAAGAGCTAAACAATTCAGCAGTTCAGGGTAGATAGTCAATGACTCCCTGGCGAACTGGTCTGTAGAAGAGAAGTGTTTTCCTAATTGGGGTGCTTTTAATTAATGAAAACTTTTTTATGGACTTCAGGAAAAGATATAAAGAAACACCTATATTTAAAATAGAGTACTGGGGTGCCTGGGTGGCTCAGTCGTTAAGCGTCTGCCTTCGGCTCAGGTCATGATCCCAGGGTCCTGGGATCGAGCCCCGCATCGGGCTCCCTGCTCCGCGGGAAGCCTGCTTCTCCCTCTCCCGCTCCCCCTGCTTATGTTTCCTCTCCCTTTAAAAAAAAATAAAATAGAGTAGTATTTTTAAATACAAATAGCTAGTTACAACAGCTAAGGATAATATTAGTACCATTATTGACTCTTTGGCATTATACTAAGCTCTTTACACGTGTTATATCATTTAATCTTTCAAAAGACTTTATGAGGTACAGAGTATT